TTCATCCCCCCACCCCACAAGTATAGCTGAAAATACTGACCAGACTGACAATGCTATGAAGCAACCATTGCTCTGTCCTATCTTCCCATAGCGATGCAAATTTTAAGGAGTATGTTTCCTAAATGCTAACTTAGTAACAAGGACTGACTGACCTGTGCAATAGGGTTTCTTCACTGATCTCAGTTAGTTACCCCAGGAAGTCTCCATGCTAGCACCAATCATGTCAACACAACGCAAACATAACCATATATACTACAAGGTTGAGTAAATGGAGATTCAGACATATATATTCAGTGGAGCCACTTAAAGTGAACATGGTTAATCTGAAAACAGATATATATATATGTAAATTGAAATAAAAGAATATCCCTGACTATTAATTCTTCAATTTGAGCAACCTCTTTAAACTTAAACTAAAAACCTGGCTAATCCGAAGAAAATCTGATAGTCCTGGAGATTTCCATTTCGGTGGCCTCAACTGTATACTAGTATAATAATAATAAATAACAATAATAATATTTAAATATATACACACACACCAAACAAAGTCAGTTTTCCTTGTACTGACACGAACTCTCCCCCCCATTATACCACCTATTTTTTAAGTTTAGGTACGCAAAGGACGATCTATAAAATTGTATTCACGCCATTACACTGTCATCCGCCAACTGTCTTGAGTTGTACAGTCCTTATCTCTAACTAAATCGAATTGACCACTACAGGTACACACTGCTCATATCGTACAACACTCACTGGTTGGCTACTTGATAATCTTTCTCCCACAAGAAAGACATAGACATAGAGAGAGAAAACTTTTGGTTCTGAATACATGTGTATGTAAGCCTACATGTATATATATCTCCAACAGCAAGATACTTTTCAAACACAGATTGCACAGCAGAATAATGTTCCTTAATGTTGGGCAGGTGGGGCTATACAACAGAAGAACCCACTTGAACACCCGCTGTTCCTTCAACTTCATGCTCGTCCCAAGGGTGGCGGTATAATAACAAGCTTCTACTGTATATATATGTGAGGCAGCGTGGTGGAATCAGGTTCTCGTCAAAATAATGAAAGTGAAGAAACTGGCATTTTTCTGCCGGTTTGGGAATTTTTATAGAATTTTCGTTTTTTGGCTCAACACCTTTCATGCACTTTAAAGAACACATTTCTGTGTGGATTCTACTGAAAAATGTTGATTAAAGGCATAAAAGATGTAAATTTTCAGTTTCCATGGACTCTCAAGCTAAGGAAATAACCCAACTTTGGCTGCCATTTTCTCGCTAATTTTACCTCTGAAACCAGGCGACTCCCACCTCCTTCAATCGTCAATATAATGACTTGTTTTCAAGATAAACGGATATATTTTTCATTGAAAGCAAGGTAATTGGACAGGCTTTAAGATGATACCAATAACTCCATATGCTCCAAAATTAACGAGTGCCTGATTTCACCCCGTTGTGACACATATATATATAATATCAGTATAACTGAACTCGGCAAGTAAGCTATTAAAAAATATCTTTAACATTGAAGATTTTACTACAGTTAATATCAAAAGTTGAAGAAAATAACAAAATAACCCTTTTCACACCAGGGGAATTTATCTTTAAACAAAATGAAACTAGCACTCATTCACAAGGCAGCAAGCAAATGAGATAGAAACTTTGGTGAAGAGACACTTGGATGAAGGGAATGTATGTATTTATAATATACATAATATATATGAGACAAATCAAACAATGAAATTGGAAATACAGAAATGTACGTAAAGACGAGAGAGAAATTCCCTATAAAAGCAATAACATTATTAATTACTGTAACCTTGCTCTTATAGAAGGCAGAGCCTTGAACAGTTTTCACTTACTTTACTTTTACTTTTTTCTTCCGCTTGTACCCTGGGGTGTCGCGGGGAGACACAGGTGTCTGTCTGCAGCAAGTCGTGTGGCCTGTAGGAGGGACATCCCATGATCTCTAAGGGTGTCTGCCACAGATTCACACCATCGTCGCCTTGGTCTTCCTCTGGCTCTCCATCCAGAATATTTAGTGTTGTATGCTCTCAGAGCTGGATGATTTGAGGGCATCCGAGTGAGGTGTCCGAACCACTTGACCTTTTGTTTTTCAATGTGTGGTAGGACTGGTGTTGCTCCCACGGTGTCCCATATGACTTCATTTTTAATTTTGTCTCTTCTTGTTTTGTTGACCGCTCTTCTTAAGCATTTCATCTTGCATGTGACCAGTTTTCTCTCTAGGGCTCGTTTTCCGTTTTGATTAGTCCGTTTGTGTCTCCTTATGTTTTCTTGAGCAATATTAATATCCACTGCCGGCCTGCTAAGCCAGTCGCAGTTTCACCAGAGCCCCGTTGGCCAGCAAACATTTCGGGGTGACCCGGGTCGGCCTTCACGGCTAGCGTAACGCCTCAGTGACATAAAGTCACACCGTACTTCACCCAGACCCAGCTATCCCCTACTTTGTCCTGTTTCCATCTCCCACGACGTGGACGAGGGGTTGGACTTCGAGAGTTTTAACAGAGGGGAAATAACTTGTTATATAATTTTATGTTCTTATACTTATACCTTATGTGGACAGTCCACAACAAGCACAATGAAAACAGTTTATAAAAAATCACAACATGAGCCAGTAGTGAATGCACAATAACTGGTAGGCTAGATATGATGAACAGAATGTTACATGATCACAACAGCTTTCCACTTCCAGATACAAGTTAGAGATACAATGAACAGTGTTTAAGTTTTAGTAAGAGTTTTACAGCATTTACAACACAATAAGATCATATAAGTGCCAAAGGTATTTTTGTTTTTGTAAAGTGTTTTACGGCACTCGCAACTGCATAAGGTCATAAGAGCGCGCGGAACACACCTAATATTTTCAGTTGGTAGGAAATTTTGAATTTTGCGCGGGTGGCGGCCAAAGCCTGCTCTTATCAATTTTAGACCACCAAGGGATCTTTAACGTGCGCAACTTGCACACGGGCCCTCCGAGATTTTTCGCCCTTGTCCGAGAAGGCTAGGTGTAGATCTTTCCTACCAGAAGATCAGGGGTGTGGCAGAAAGACAGCAGTAAGGAGGAGCCAAGGAGTAGCAGAAGAAAGGCTGTAGAAAGAGTCAGGAGCCCAGAGGAGGGAGCAAAAGAGGTGAGGGGGTGGGAGCAGAAAGTGGAAATGAAAGCAGACAACAGAACATTGCTAGAGAGCAGAAAAGGAGGTGAAATGAGACAATTCTAGAGAAGAAAATTTTTCGATTGCTACCCGGATTCGAACCCGGGACCTTTGAATGAGAGGCCAACACCTTAACCTCTAGGCCACGAGAGCCCCCTTGCCAAAGGTAAAAGGTGTTACAAGAGAGTAAGAAACACAAAATAGAAGGCGGAGAGATAAGAACAATAAAAGTTTGATAGGAAAAAAGGAGCAAACCACACCAGAGCACCCGTCAATCACCCACAATTAAAGGTGTGATGCTATGACACTTTTCTTGATCATAATACATGAATATTGAAAAAAGTTTTGCCAGCATAGATAATAATAATAATAATAATAACTGCATATTGAGCATATCCACGCTCTTTAGCATGTGCTGTGTGCTTTACAACCATTATTACTCCAGAAGACCCCACAACACTCAGAAACATTTTCGGCTTCCTGGGAATCATACAGTGCAAGCTGCAGGTTACAAGTGCTCAAACCTAACAAACTGACTAGTAAAGTGTCAAAGCATCTCATTAGGGGTTGAATAATATATTATTTTATACTACACTACAAACCATACAAAACCAGAACAAACATGCGCAGAAACAATGAGCATGGTAACAACACATAATCAGCTTTTACAAGTTGACTCGACCAATGTTACATCTTTGAAAGGATCTCTTATTCCTCATTTGAATACGGTGGAACTCGGATTTAATGAAGTTGTCGGAACTGACCTTCAGTTTAGTTGAATCTGTGTGTTCGTTATAGTTATAATAGCAGACATGAGGCTTTTGTTGAGAGACACTTCTGTTTTTATGATGCCATACCGAGACTAGAACGTACTGTTTGCCGAACAAGTTACGTTGCACTGTAGAGTCTAGCATACGGCAATGTTTTTTTAGTTTTAGTAACAGTTTCATGGCACTTGCAACACAATAAGGTCATATAAGTGACCAAGATTAGAGGAGTTACAAGAGAGCAATAACACAAAAAAAGGAGGAAAGATCAGGACGATAGATGTTTGATAGGAAAGAAGGAGCAAACCACATCAGAGCACCTGCCAACCACCCACTTACGTCAATGTTTGATTTTACAGTCCAACATGCAATTCATTACATAGATCTACCCCAGACACATACACACATACAGTCACACGTGTGCTGGCCGTCCGTCCAACACTAATACTAGTGTGCCGGTTAACAACGTGAGTTTTGTTATGAAAGAAGACTGCTTATTGATCACATAAGATGTAAACAATAGGCTAAGCTAAAAATGGTTCATGATACAGGTATCATGGGTGGTTTCCAGGAAAAGATAAGGTTCATTGTGGGAGAAAAAGGAGCATTGCCACGTCAGCGGGGGTGGTTCATGTGGCAAGTGACTTTGTTGAACCTGAGTTTGCTCATTTATGGGTTTGATGAATCCGAGCTATTTTTATAGACTTTTATGAATAGAAAAAAACGGGGAATCCAACTCCTTTAGTTGAATCCTAGTTTTCGTTGATTCCGAGTTCGTTGAATCCGAGTTCCACAGAACACAGAAAAGTAATGCACACACAATGCAAGTCCAATCAGTCAGTATCAGTGAACGAAGGACAAGAAGCAGCTAGTCCAAGGTCCAGGGCACTTTAACTGGCCAAGCAAGGACAAGACTTTTAAACTAAAATGGCACGTATTTTCTGACAAAAGGGACATATATATATTATATTAAGTAAGAGTAGTTCATTGAAAGCACCTAGGAAATTTATGAGATCTCTAATGGCACTTATATAATATACAAAGGAAAACATGGCGCATAACTGAAAGAAAGACTATGAAACTTTCTTTACTTTGTGAACAGCAGACCCCTATTACTATAGTCTTCAGCTTTGATTTCTTGTTGTTGTTTGCCATTGTGGGTACAACAATGTTCATAAAAATGCATTGTAACCCCCCAACCCTCTACAGTTAAGTCAAAAGCATCTTCCATACATGAAGCCACTATGAGCTCAATGTTGCCCAAGCAGTGAAGGAAGGTCCCAGAGATATATAATATTATATGACATATTATGTGGACCAAGTTAAGTAAATTCCCAATGGAGGGCTTCAGTTTATCTTACTCGCATGTATACACTGAGGGATGTGACAGCTGGAACATTACAATCAGGCCAGCCATAACTTCCACCCTCAGGTCTGGTTCAGTTGGCAATCTTCAGCAAGAGGCAGAAATGTCACACATTATCAGGGAACAAAGAGTCATATGCAGGAGGAGGTATCTCCAAGCTGTCAGCCAGCACAGTGTAGTCTAAAAACGGTTCACAGCTTTCTTCTGTAGGTAAGCTAGTCTCCTACATAACTTTCACCTTCAGGTTTGCTTCACTGGGCAATCTTCAGAAACAGACAGACTTCTTGAAATGTCACACATTATCAGGGAACAAAGAGTCATATGCAGGAGGCGGCATCTCTAAGTTGTCAGCCTGCACAGTAGGGCCTCTATGATCTACAAACGGCTCACTCTCTTCTAAAGGAGGAGCGGAAGGGCATCTGTCAGGCACAGGTGAAGTTGGGGAAAATTCATTGGGAGATGACGGACCATGGGTTGCTGACCATCGTGGAGCTGTTGGTCGTTGTGGGGAAGAGAGATCGGAAGTCTGGTAGATAGCCCGGCCGTGACTGTTTGTGCTGATGCTTTGACTTGGGTGGACAAAGACTGGCAAGCTATTCCCACCATCAGGGCTACCTACATTCAGTGGCTCTGGGGGATTCAATCAAAATGAGAAAAACAATTTTGTTTTCCGTGATCAGATAAGTCATGGCTACTAAAACTTTATTTTTCTGAAACTGAATATTCTCAAATTTAAAAAAAAATCAAAAGGCGCAGGACAAAATATTTTGCATAAACTCACACTTGTTTAGGATTTTGTGTAGAAAGAGACCATAAATATCTCAAAAACCTGTGTCCAATCAAGTGGGATAAGTCCTACCTGCTTTGTCAAGGTATCAAATGGATTTCAGATAAGTTCTTCAAGCAAACAGCAGACACAATTATAACTTATAACATAAAAGACAAAAATGGAATGACTTCATTCCAAAATATTTTTTTGACAGCCACAGAAAATAACGCCTTACCCACATGGTACCTCTTTATAAAGTTTCTATCCAAGATTAACCCTCCAAGTGTCACACTAACAAGTAGCTTGTAGTATTAGGAGAAAGATCTAGAAAGTAGACTGTAAATAGAAAGCACAGCTCATTATAATTTATGAACAAGTTCAAATGTTTGGCAATCTCGAAAACGGGATCAAAATTATAGCAACTCAAATTCCCGCCTATTAACTCATTCGCTACGCCGAGCCGTGGGGGGGCGGCGTGGCTAAAGTGCCGTCAGTACGCTAAGCCACCCCCGGCGGTTCAAGAACCGACGTTCAATTTGAGCTTGGTTTCTATTCCAATCCACATATCCATGTTAAAATAAAGGTCATAATATAAAGTTGACTTCCGGGTCAAGCGTTTCCACCGAAAATCGGAAGTTTTGATTCAGTTTTGAAACACGATTTCGAAGTTCATACGACACTGTTTTATTGCGAAGCCCAAATTATAGCCCAGACACCAGTCTTAGTACTTTTACACAACAAAATGTATCATTATTTTGCTCACTAAAGAAGTGTAGGACTCTTCTTTATAATATTGATACTACTGGACTCAAATTGCCAGTGCACTGTAATTGAGAAATCAATATTTTTGAGTGCTAGATCTAGGCGTAGATCTAAATAGTCAAAATATTTTTTAAAATCAAAATCACTACTTTTTGGTGAATTTACTCAAAAGGTACCACCCAAGACATGTATAGGTTTATTCCAAATGCAATTCTGAATAATTCCATTTAAGATAAGAGTGTTTTTTTCTGTTTGGGATCCTTTTTTCAAAATTAAAAAAAAAATCATTTTTTTTCAATATCGGAGGTTATGATCCAATTGTACAAATATTATGGAATGCGTGTAAATAACTGCTCATTTTTCAATATTTTCCTGTTCTATATACAGTTATGGTTATTTTGATGTATAATTTGACTAGGTGCAAACATATTTTTTGAGTTTCATCTGAGATTACAAATTTTTTGTTTTCAAATTTTATCCGCAGCCAATCACAATTGTGTTGCATAATGGCCTCTTACAGGAACCAAAGTTGAAAAATACTCAAATAAACAATACAGATGTATTCTACAAACCATACTGAAAATGTTGGTATATTATATGTTGATATTTATTTGAATTTATGGCCCCCAAGACCTGTAAACTTCACACTAGTCATCATCTCATTTTGCCCTCCCGAAAAAAATTCGTCCACAAGCCGAAAATAATACGTAGAGAAAGAGTTAAATTGGCAATGACACCATAGAAAGAAAGTACAGCCATCGACATTCAGAGTTTTAAGTTCAACTAGGTTTTACATGAATAATTCACATGTGCACGAAGACCTGGGCGGTAACAAAACAAAGCAACAACACACTTCTGAGAGCAGGAAAAGTCCTGGTCCAAACTTGGACGGATGAGCTCCAACTCAGAACTGACCTAACATAGGTGGAGTACATCGTTAAAATTTAATTCCAGCAAATATTATTTGAAAAAAGTACCACAATTGTACATACCTGCAGCAGCTGCTGTGCCATTTTCAGAATTCGATGAGTTCTTTCTGATATAGCAACAACAAATGCAACAGCAAATAAGAATGAATACGACGACTACACACACTATAATGACAACAATTTTCGAGGAGTTATCTTCATATCCTTCCTCAACTTCTGGGGTAAAGTCAGGTTCTTGTCTCTCTGAAAAAAAATAAGGCATCCAAAATTGCGTTTATTAAATTACACTCTCAAAAACACACACATAAAGAAGTTATCCATTCAAAACTTTTCTTGTTATGCAATGGTTAATTTAGTAATATAAAAAACATATTAATTGATTACAAACTCGAAAGATTTAACAAATAGAGCAGCACTAATTTATTCTTCTCCTTTAAGCCATCACAGAACATTTATGCCTACATATCTAACTAGTGGTGGCATCAAGGACTGCCTCTCCCACTTTCAGCATGAACAACTTCTCTTTTCTCTTCTTTCAGCTGGAGCTAATTCTCAAGAACCAGAAACTAGCATGGCAAGCTCTTTCTTACAACAAGTAACACGTCAATATGAGCAACAGATCTTTAATGAAAATAAAAAGTTTTGTCAGGAAACGAGGTACCCACTGCTATCACTGCGAGTAGTATTAGACTTAGAAGATGAGAGTACGGATGACAGAAAGAAGAGGCACATAGCTGCATGAACTGATGGGTCTAGCATCAAAAGTACATGCTGTTGACTGTTGACTTTTTTCCTTTTCTCCAGTGGTGGTAATAGGCCTTAATTCAGTGCTTCCACCAGCTGAAGCTAAAAAAGTAAGGAAAATTCTGCCGGGGGTCTGAGGTTCCAGGTACAGAGTCCTGGTGGGGGTTCAGGGGGCAAAACCCCCGAAGAAATTGAAATTTAGTGCTTTTGAGGCTTAAAAATGGCATTTGGGGGCATGTTTGAAGAGGTTGCCTACAATCCATAACATTTATTTGTTCGCCAACATTTTGTCTTGTTTGATTTCTTCACCTACATAAATCTTTCCATTGCAGGCAATGTCTAAAAGCAGGTTCCCATTCCATTGCCACTATAATTCAATTAATTTGTCATGGCACCATTGATAGAAGGCAAACTTGGGAATAATGAATAGATATGTACCTTCACAATACAGTTACCCAGCGTATGCCCTAATTTTCCACCATTTTCACTTCTGAATGTTGCATGTCACAACCTCGGAACACCACTTCAAATTATTCTTGATTTTAGTAGTTTTAGCATAAATTTCTTTCATCGTGGCCCATATCGCGTTCCCGTGCCGTAGAATCTTCGCTTTGATAATTTCTCTAGACCTAGACAATAAATTTGCAAACAAGTTTCTTTCTGACAGTAATTTTCTGTCTTAAGATCACAAGTCAATTTACTTGACCAACACGCATATTATCCAGCCGCAGCAACAGTCCGAGGATAGACAGACGGATTGAGTGAATGATAGAAAGGAAGAAATTGGCACAAAAAGTTCGCCAGATTTTGATCAATCTGCAAGTAAAAATGTACTGCCGACCAACCCGCAATGAATGCATGGGGCATAGCGGAATAATGGCCGATTGCAGGAAATGCGCAATCTGGCAGGTCTCTTTACATTAACTTACTGCCGAGAGAATTACAGTAAATATCCGTAACCTATACAAGACGATACAAAGGCGAATACGGATCTTTAGCTACGCCACTGAATTTCGGTAGTTTTACGCTGTCGCAGTCCTTTACGGAGGGAGTTGATAATGATGGAGGAACAAGTACAGAGCCAGTAGAAAGTACGGATTCCCGTAAAAATACGGGAGAGTGGAAGCACTGTTAATTTCATGAGAGTATAACCAGGAACAGAATTTTCACTATGCCATACCCTATTCTGGTGTAGTTAAACTTGGACTACCTATTTGGAACTGATCTGACCTAGAACATAGATCCTAGATGTCAATGTGAAGGTCACAGTGGTTAGTAATAAGTAAGTTTGTAAAGGTTTAATGCCCCTATCAACACTTTTAGATTATTTAAGAGATGGGACCTCCAAATTTAACGTCTGTCTCCAGTAGGACTAAGCGAATTTGGTTAAGAACCTTGAAAACTCCACAAAATAACCAAAGTTCAAGAACGTCCAGCCTGGAATTCAAACCAGGGCCATCCGTTCCACAGTAAAGCATAATAACAACTGAGTTAATGGAGTGCTGGGACACAATGGGGTTGGTGTTATGTCATACAAGAACATTAAACAGAGGGCTTTGACCGACCGACAATGTTTTCAATGACATGGGAGGTGGGGGGGAGGTGTACTTTACTTTTATCGTTATTCTAATTGCTACCTTCTAAAGAGAAAGCACTATGAGGTTTACTTTTCTGAAGATGAAACTTCATACTTTACTTCTACCAAGTGCAAAGCAGGTTACATTAAAGGTGAAGCATCTAATCCTCTCACGATAAAATGCGCTGAAAGGAAGCTGATGGTCCATGCAGGACAATGAAAATGTGACAAACAATTCCATTGCGATCTTAAACTTCCACTCTGTAGTTAAGCTAGCTTAATCAACTCTAGAATTGCTAAGAAGGTAAAAATAAATTAGGTACCAGTTGGTCTGCTGTTTTTCTGAAAAGCATACTTACCTTTGAATCGATATGTGAACACAAACTCATGCTGAGCACTTGCAACACATTTGTCAGGATTTAAATAATAACAGAATGTCTTTATTTCCACTTTGATGCCAGTTTCCTCAAGCATGGACATGCAGTATTCTGAGTCAATCGTTGGTCGGGTTTTGTACCCATATGTCCTTAAAAAGAGAAAAATGACAAAGCCATCATATAAAACAAATATCTGCTGATGGACCTCTACAGAACAATTTTAAATGATGCAACTTACAAACAAAGACTGTGGATGTATGTTCCACAAAATTGAGAATAAAATAATCCTTCTCCCTCTCTCCTCCCTCCCCACCCTCAACCCCCTCTCTTTTTTACACACACATGCACACACACACACACACACACACACACACACTCATACACACACAGACACGCGCACACATACACACACGTGCATGCACACACAAACACCCATGCACACACATGCAAACACAGCCAAAAGCTGCATAAAAAGTTAAGAAAGACTTTCCAAACTTTGATGAAAAACTTACACATGAAAACTCCATAAATAAGGAAGCGAATTTAGTGATAAGAACGGAAAAGAAGCAACTTTCAGAGCTCCACAAAGATGATTGAAGTGTACACCCCCCCCCCCCCCCCAAAACAAAACAAAACAAAACAAAAAAAACAAAAACAAAAAACCCCAAACAAACAAACAAACAAACCCCCCCCCCCCCTAAAAAACCCCAAAACAACCAACAAACAAACAACAAAATACTTTGGATGGAAAATTACTTCTATGATCCCAAACAATTTTTTTGAACATTTCAGATATTTTTCTGGACTTAAAAAAACAACAAAATTCTAATTTCCATTACTTTCAAAGTACTTTCATAATTGAGGAGGCTCTGTGTGCACACTGAGCACAGAAAAGTTGCCTTGGACACAAAAAGTATAAGGAGATCAACTCAGTAAACTTCAAGGGAATATATATCTACCTAATGGTAAAGAAATAGGTCAATACAAATGATCAATATAATCACTGACATATAAGGCTACCTGAAAGAAAAAGGGGAACTACAATTTAGTGCACGAGATGGCCTTGGAAAAAATCTGTATAAGAAGAAAAACCATCAATGTCTCAAACAATTGTAAATGTTCCTCTACATCCCTATCAACACAAATTAAGATCATTGTTGTCAGGGCTAACTCGGACTGAGGGGGATATAAGACATAACAGACAGGTGGGTAGACACATAATAAAGAACTCTTCCCAGTTCGAATCAAATTATCTTCTATGTGCGATGGCAAAGAGCCTAACCATTACATCACAGACCCCGGTGATTTTCCTGGTTTCCTTAAGAGTAAGATATAGTATGGGCAAGATGGAAAATAAGAACAATTCCATCCCTTTCTCTTTTCTGTTTTTGCAAATTAGAACCGTTAGAAGCAATAATTTTCTTTGATGCAGGTGTTTTTCAACGCCCCCCCATGAACCACAGTTTAGATCATTTAGGAGGAAGGCTTTGACCCTACTTGTCAGGGCCACCTTGGGTTGAGAGGGATATAACACCAAAGCAGAAAGACATAATGCACCCGTGTGGTTCTCGGGGCCCTGTCCAAGAGACAGGGGAGCAAAGAATAGGTTAGCAGCCCTTTCCCATAAAACAAAAGCAGCTACAAAAACATCAACAGCAAAAACAACATCAGCAGCAAGGAAACTGCAGAGCTTCATAAATGGATGCCTACGAAGAATAGTGGGGATCAAGTGGTATGATCGAGTCACGAATGCTCAACTGTGGGAGAGAACAAGCCAAAGGCCAGTAAAGGAATATATTCAGGTGAAGAAATGGAAATGGATTGGACACACCCTGAGGAGACCCCCGACAAGCATCATCAGGCAGGCCTTAACATGGAACCCACAAGGAAAGCGTAAGAAGGGAAGACCTAAGATGACATGGAGGCGAGCGGTATCAGTGGAAATTGAAAAAGCGGGGACATCATGGAAACAGATAGAAAAGGATGCTCAGGACAGGCTTCGCTGGAGTAATGTTGTTGATGGCCTGTGCTCCACTGGGAGTTAAAAAGGGCAAGAGAGAGAGAAAGACATAAAAACTCGATAAGAAACATCCACACACCAGCATCCACCCAACTCAGGTCTTCTGCATGAAATTGCAAAACCCATCACTGCTACACTACAGGTGCTAGCCCCAGAGTAGTTCTACAAATGAGTGTTTACAAAACATACCTGTATGCAATAAGAAGTTGTGCACCACCAGGTAGAAACTTTGCATAATGAAATCTATAACAAAAGTCCTGTGGATGGCCTCGGTTGAAGGGTGACAATATGACTTTGCAAAATTTGATAACAGCAGGAGCCGTTTCCTTATGGCGTGAATATACTGTCCCACTGTCCCTATTTTTATACATCCTGACTGAACGACAGCTATTGGGGTCACTCAAATCATCTGAAAGGGAAAGAAAAAATCTTGTCACAATCGCATACAGAGCTGACATTCATTAAAATTATACACATTTTGTAGCCTACTTGTAAAATTCGCCGAACATGACCTGCTAAATGTCGTTCTAACAGGGACCAGTCATCTTTGAAACAAGACTTTACATATAATATATATGTGAGTGTGTGTGTGTGTGTGTGTGTGTGTGCGTGCGTGAGTGTGTATGTGTGTGTGTGTGACTGTGTGTGTGACTGTTTGTGTGTGTGTGTGTGTGTGTGCGTGTGTGTGTGTGTGTGTGTATGTGTGACTGTTTGTGTGTGTGTGTGTGTGTGTGTGTGTGTGTGTATGTGTGTGTGTATGTGTGTGTGTGACTGTGTGTGTGTGTGTGTGTGTGTGTGTATGTGTGTGTGTGTATGTGAGTGTGTGTGTGTGTGTGTGTGTGTGTGTGTGTGACTGTGTGTCCAGAATAGTAGCGGAAGACACATGCTTGAACTGATTAACATTGCAATAAAGGTCAAAAGTTGATTTTGTAAAAAATTGAGCTCTATGAACAAATCATTCTTTAGCCATTTAACTACCATGTTTTTTTACACAGGACATCTTATGAAATAACAAAAACTGCACAAGAACATTTGCTGTCACAGCCTACATTGAGGAAGGTTTATACGACTCATTCATTAAAAAAAAAAAACCTATCACACTGCATACCAAACTTTAGGCCAGACAACAAATTTACATGGCAAAACCACGTAAACAATATCGTTAAAAAGGTAAATCAGAGGCTGTACTTTCTGAGGAAACTAAAGTCTTTCAATCTGAATCCATCCATCCTTCAGATTTTCTACACCACCACAATAGAAACTTTGATAAATTTTGGAAGCACTTGCTATGGTAGCAATCTGGGAAGGCAGCACATTATAAAACTAAATAAGCTGATAAAAAAAGGCGTCAAGAACAATTGGTAGAGACCTAAGTAACTCTGAATATCTGCACAAGACAAACGTTCTAAAAAAGGCGGAAATAATGCTTTTTGACCATAGCCACCCACTGACATCGGAATTTCAACTATCGACCCACAGTAAACGACAAATTTCCAAAAAAGCAAGAACAGACAGATATAGAAATTCATTCGTACCAACTGCAGAGAGAGAGAGAGAGAGAGATAGAGAGAGAGAGAGAGAGAGAGAGAGAGAGAGAGGGAGGGAGGGAGGGAGGGAGAGTGAGAGAGAGAGAGAGAGAGAGAGAGAGAGAGAGAGAGAGAGAGAGAGAGAGTGTGTGTGTGTGTTTTACGGAGCGGGTTGTCCCAGCCCGTGAGACATGTATTTACTTGGCCTAATGTCCTGTCTTGTGCGTTTGCGTGAGTGCACCTTTAAGTCTAACTTTTGTAACGTCTACTGCCATTGTTAACGACCAAGACAAATTTCTCCCTGTGAGATGAATAAAGATTGTCATTGTCATTGTGATGTATCTCGAGCTATGAATTGCACGCAAATGTATAAGATTTTGACTATTCGTATCCTTATACACTGCATGAGCACATCAAAATCACAAAGCCCCTCTTCGATCTATCTGGCATTGTCATCCAGGACGATTTCTAAAATGAACCCCTCTTCACCTTGCTTTTCAAAATTCAGGTCAGTTGTATTCTTTCTCAAGGTGTGAAGTGTACACAAATACATTAATACAGTGAAGAAGTTCTGTGCATTCACGTATCTAACGACACTTCGTGAGCAAAGTAATTTTTGCTAAATTTCTAGGTCTATTCGACCTGGAACTTGTTTTGAAAAAGTTTTAATGACATTTTGAAACTGTTTAGTTGTCTTAATACAGCTATTTAAAGTTGCACTTTGAGTATTAACTGTTTTGTCAAGGGTTTCAGAGACAAACAACACAGCTGTCCAGTCGATTAATATTTATTTGGAGCTCAATCCAGATCTGAGGGATTCTTTAAAATTATTTTTCTCAAAAACTTTCTCCCTACACCATACCTAATAATATTGACCAGGTCTTACAAAGTGCTGAAATTATCTTAAAAATGTTTAAGCATGTTATTCAGAATTGACTTTTGTATAAGAAAGTGCAAAAAACCCCACAATTCCTCATAATGCGAAATGCATTATATATTTTATGTTTTTACATTTAAAGCTTGATCCTGCCTTTAATTTGATGAACACTCTGTGCAGCAAAACAAATGCTGTCAAAATGGTCCAAGATAGTTATAAAATGTCAGAGAGAAATTCTTTACCTTTTGGACAGAGTCTCTTTTACATTAAAAAAAAAATTTAAGGGCGAAGTGAGAAGTGGTCGTTAATACATATATGTGAGTCTTGGACTTCTGGTGGTTAGAGTAGGTTTGACTGCAGTTGAAATATTCAAGACTTATATCACATAAATAAATACCACAGGACCTGTGCATGACTGAGGCCCTTCAGGAAGCCTCTTATCTATAGATACATATACAATATACGCCCCTGCACACTGAAGGGTATTTCTGCACAAAAGGAAAATTACACTTGTGCATGTATTCTAGCTCATAATAGAACTGAGAGCAGCCCATTAGAACAAAATATTGAGAGCAGCCCATATTGAGGGCAAAAGTTTTTAGCTGAATACTTGTTTAAGGATTAGAAGAACCATTACTGAGGAGGCAGAAGGCAATCTATCTCACAGTTGAATTTCACAGAAAAGGAGATGATTTGAACATTTCAGTGGAGAATTCATCTCAACAAAGAGAATGTCAGAGAACATAATCTCAGTTCAAACCAAATTTTGTTTTGTTTAATCTCCCAACAACTAAACACTAAACCTGGAATTATAATAATATTCCAAACAACTTCAAACAGTTCTGCAACTGGAAGGAAAACATTTATATTATGAGGGGACTTACAAACAAGATAAAGGAAACTTACCTTGATCATACAACGATCTTGACAACTCCACCCTACCATATCCCTTAACAGAACACAGGTTGGAACCTGAGAACACCATGTCAAGGCTTTGTCCCTTTTCCAAACAAATATCTCTTGAAGATCCATAGACATACTTGTCATTGTGACAAGCTATTGTCTGTAAAACAATACAAATCTTACCATTTAGACTCATTTATAAAACAAAATCACATCCTTCCTACACACTGTTCAACATCTTGATCTACATTTCGCGACTGTTTTACAACAAAACAATATTACATGGTATATTTGCAACTTTTTATTGACCATACCAGGACTATTTCAGGACTACCGATCTCGGAAACTTCAAACTAGAGGTCAGACAATTGAAAACAAATAATAAAATTAAAAATGAAATTCATACAGGGACTCAAATTTTGGATCAACACTCACTCTTATAATAAATGTTCTTGAAGTGATCAGAAGAACAGCAGGAGTAATTATGAAATACTAAGTAAAGAAAACTGCTACAGAAGGCCTCACACTTGAGTCTCACCACAATACTTTGACTAACTTGGGCCTCATCTGTATCATCATTGCCTTTTTCACCCTGCACCAGGGTATAGACAACGAACAAACACTTTCCACCTTTATCCTGGGCTAGCATCTTGATGTTATTCCATGTCTTCCCACTTTTCTGTTTATCGACTTCTGTGATTCTTCTCCAGGTTCCACGCGGTCTTCCAATTGATCTTTTATCCCGTGGATTCCAATCCAACGCTTTCTTTGTTTTGCAGCTGCCTGACTTTCTGAGAGTATGTCTAATCCATCGCCACAGCCTTCTTCCTACCTCATCTCTGACTGGGATCTGGCTTGTTTTCCTTAATACTTCTTCGTTGGTGACCCTGTCTGTCCTTCTGATCCTCAGTAACTTTCTTAGAAACTTGTTCAAGAAAACCCAAATCCTCTTTATGCAAGTCTGTGATGCGTTCCATGTCTCACATCCATACACCAGGACTGACTTCACATTTGAATTGAAAATCCTCAGCTTTGTTCAAAGTGAGATATCTCTGGTCTTCCAAATCCTATTCAAATATATGAAAGCAGCCTGTGCTTTTCCAGTGCGGGACTTTATTTCTTCAGCACCTGTTCCTCCCTCTGTGTCAGTTATACTTTCAAAGATAGCAGAAGGATTCAACATCTTCTAGTGCATTTCCTTCTATTGTGACCTGCTTCTTCCGTATGGCATCTATCCTTAGGACCTTTGATTTTTGGGGTAGATCCTCAATCCAACAGACTCTGATAGGTAGTTTAATACTGAAGTCTTTGCTTGCATTCTGTTCGTGCGTGTGCGTCAGAAGTGCCAAGTCGTACGCAAAATCCAGATCATCCAACTGTGTCCATGGGGTCCACTGTATACCATTTCTGTGTCCTCTGGTAGTTTCCTTCATCAGCCAATCAACTGCCAATATGATGAGGAAAGGTGATAGTAAACACCCGTCTCACTCCGGTCTTGATATCAAAGCTGTCAGTGAGATGGCTATCATGTGTGCAACCCTGCAACTCCAGGTTCCACTCCAGGGACAGTTCCACAATGATCCTCAGCATGTCAATCTGGTAGGTGGTTGAGCAATTTTTTGGAAAACAGCCTGTTCATCTCATAGTCTCGGATCTGTTGCAGTCTTGATTCTCTCCAGAATGACTCTGTTGAAGACCTTACTTGTCTTAAGAGAAGAGTGATCCCTCTGTAGTTGTTGGAGATGCTGAGATCCCCCTTTTTTGGAAGCTTCACGAGGAGTCCTTCTTTCCAATCATTCGGGAACTTGCTCTCATTCCAGATCCTGGTAAACAGTGGGAGGAGGAGGTCTGCTGTAATGGCATCTAGAATCTCTTGTTTTGAAGGAGCATCACAGCAGATTGGTAACTCATTTCTTGCTGGCAGGATGTTTGGCGGGTTACTCGGTGGTGGTCTGTTCAGTAGACTGTTGAGAGGCTCTACCCATCATTTTGACTGAGTTTCCTTTCCAAAAACGGTTTTCCCCACTTGGTCCTTTACTGGTACTTCAGGTTTCCCATATTTTTCAGCAAGAATCTTTGTGGTCTGGTAAAGGATTCGCATGTGCCCTCCTACCTCTGCTTCTTCTGCCTTCTCTGCCAGCCTGTTCATGAATTCCTCCTTGTCTTTTCTTAGTGGTTTCTTGACATTCTTAGCTGTTGTCCTGTAATGCTCACATGCATCCACTCTTGATCCTCTTGTTCTATTTGCGTTCTCTTCTGCCTTCAGTTGTCTTCTGATCCTAACTAAACCCAATAAGTGTAGGCCAATCTATTCCTTGTGCTTCCATTTCTTCGCACCGAGTACCTCTTGACATGTTGATGTAAAGCCTTCTTTGACCTTGGCCTAGTGTATCTCCACCTTCATGTCCTCTCCACCAAGATCAGCCAGAGGTTGAAATCTGTTCCTCAGCTGCAGCTGAAACTCCTTTTTCTTGTGTCAGTCCAAGAGACTCACTGGGAACTTCGTTCTTTTGGTTCCTGTGCTGATTCTCAGCTTTTTGAGTCGAAGCTTGAGTATTGCCAACAGCAGATGATGATCTGATCCAATGTCTGCCCCTATCTGTACTGTGACATCTTCCAGTGAATGCCTGAACCTACGAGAGATACAAAAAGATCTATCTGGTTCTCCGTCACTCCATCAGGCGATACCCAGGTAGCCTTGTGAATCCTCTTGTGAGCAAAAACAGAGCCTCCAATGACAAAACTTAAAAGCACAAATATTTGCAAATTGCTCACCGTTTTCACTCATTTGTCCAAAGTCAGGTTGTCCCATAATTCCCTCATAACCTAAGTTGTCCTAACCAATCTTGGCACTGGAATCTCCCATTATGATGTTGATATTCTTCCTTGGTAGCTTGTCAATGACCCCCTAGAGTTGGCTGTAACGCATTCTTTTCTTCAACCGAAGCATTATTTGACGGGGCATAGATCTGGACTATATTTCTTTCCGAACTATATTCGTGTTGACGCTCTTGCTCCTTGTAGTAAAAGAAGCCATGATGAACCTCCCCGCGTGTGGTTCGCATCCTCTAAGTAACTTCTCGGCATACTTACTCATAATGATTCCCATTCCTTCTGCATGGTGCCTGTCTTCCCTCCCAGAATACATTATTTGTTCCCCTGAGCTGAGCTGCTTCTGTCCAGACAGTATCCAGAGTGTTTCCTTGACCCCTAGTATGAGCAGCCTGTGTCTCTTCATCTCTCGTGACACTTGAGAACTTTTTCCCGTTTCATATATAGTGTGCGAACATTCCACGACGCAATCCGGAGAGACTTGTTTGACAGAGAAGGTTTCGGGTCAGGAGAGTCTGCTGTCCTTCATTGTTCCTGCTAAAGCAGAAGCCCCTCCGTCTCCCAAATCGAAAATTAAAAAGCAGAGTTTGTCCGTGTTTCTTTAACTCACTGTTTTTTAGTGGGTTAGGTAGTTGGCCCTCCACAAACTGGCACTTTCGAAACACCAGACCTATGCACCTTCAGTCGCCTCTTACAACAGGCAGTATCACGGCAGGTGAATTCTTTGCTCCCCCATAGTAAAACAATGCCCCCGCCCCCCCCACCTGCAGGGGCGAGCTTGGGCCTCACTTATACTTAAATAGTTAAGAGACTTGGGAAACCTTCCCAACAAACATATTGTTGAAGAAAGCACATTAAAAAAGTAATTTAGCTATTTTCTCACCTCTAAATCATTGGTGCTTCTAGGTGTCTTTTCTTGGAAGGTTACCGTTGTGAAGCAATCATCAACTTCAAAAGCCCCTGACTGAAAACAGATTTTAGAAAGCACTTTTTCGATTTCATCAGCAATGGTGAAGGACAGCTTGCACTCCTTTGGCAGCATCAAAGGGCAGTCAACTGCTGTTCTACATTTTTCGCAATTGCTTGCTTGAATCAAAGGGGTGTAAGCAATTCCAAACTTCATGTTGATCGTCTGAGAGCATGATTCTGATGAAGTTTTGACTTTAACTGTAGAGAGTGAAATGTTAAAAGCTGTTGTTAGAATCACAAGAGCCTCTAAGTGCATGTTCAGAAATCAGAGGACAAAACCCAGCTTATCTATACTCCTCACACTCACATGAAAAGGAAAAGGAGGAGGGGACAAAAGATCACCTTCAGAAAAGGTGACTACGTTGAAAGATTTACTGCGCCCTTTATAAGAAGCCCATTGATTCGCTCTAAAATCAAGAGCTTCCACTGAATATTTCTTCCCACACCACTCTAAATTTTAAAGGTCAATGGCCACATTTCGTTACAACTAATGACTGTGAACATATATATACATACAGCGCTGGACTTTTAATTTCAACAAAATTTTGAAAATGTACAATTCAACTAGGAGGGCACCAAGTTTGTAAATATGAAGAAAATCAATCGAGGTGCCTGAGAAATTATTATCAAATTCTAAAAATTTTACCCAAAATCAGGTATGATGCAAAATTTTACTTCTTAATTAAAAAAGTATTCAGCTACAGAGGCACCAACATGATAAGTCAGTGCTTATGTTAAATTAAGCTCAATCAAGCAAATTATCAAGTGTAGAAGTATAGCGATCAAGTTCTTACCTGTTTCTATTGTAACACAAATGCAGAGATGGAAAACCACAGCCAATAGTAACAAGACAGAGAGGAACATCATGTTGTTTCACATTGTTACTGGTACCATCCAAGAAGCTGAGAATAAAAACAACCTTAATTATATAATCCACTCTGATCAAAATTTTGAGAATTTTCTATCCCCCCCCCCCCCCCCCCCCCTAGCCCAAAGCTCTGCCAGGGATGTACCTTTCCCAGCAGCACCAGAATGCAGTTTGATAATATGGTCAAGGACAATATTCTTCCTTTTCACAATTCCTGATACAATGCAACAAAACTAAATTTTTGCCTGCGACACTGACGATAAATTATTTTTCAGTCAATATGAGGTTACAGAGATGAGATCCGGAATCTAGATTTAGAGCTCTGGTTTGGACTTAGTAGTTGAGGCAGAAATTACAGGGTATCTCAGAAGTCGCCAGACTGTACAGCTGTTTCGTTTTAAAATAATCAGGCTGCATTGTTCTCAAAACAACATCTGAATTGTAGTGAAAACTTCCTTGTTTTCACTGTTCATATTGAGCTAATTTGAATAGCATTCTACTGCACAATAAAAAAAATAGAGAGCAATCATCAGTCGGTGATTTGTTGAAACACCTTGCATTGCTGTAAAATAAAATCAGCAATCTCTGGTTATGACCCCAAGGTTAGTGGGTTACTACTGGAAAATAATGGATAATAACTTTATACTTCATGTCATAGGTAAGAGGAGAGTTAGAGTAAGGGTAAGAGGTTAGGGTAGGGTCAGGTGTAATGAATAGGGGTAGATCTAGCAGTACGGTAGTCAGTAACAGAGGTGTATCATTTTACTTTCACACACCTCTCATGTTCAGATATTTATACAGTAGAACACAGCTATAGCGGGACTTTTGGTTCCAGAAGAAAAATCCCACTGTAGGCGAGTTCCCGCTATAGGTATGCGAAGGGGAAATTAATGAAACAATCCTAAAAATCCACATGATTACCTCCCTCCCATATCAATAAAATTTTCGCTCTAGATTAGTCTTCCTTTTCTTGTCAACTTCGTTGATTATCTCGGCCTTTAATTCGAGTGAGAAGCATTTCCTTTTCTCTTTAATGGAAGCCATCTTTTCCTCTGTCTCATTGCTTGTGCTGTCTATCGTACTGTTAAGCCTAGGCCTACAGTAGAAGAACTGGTGAAGCGGATGCGTGCGCAGGCCTATGAACATCAACGATCGCAACTCAATGAATCATGAATCACACACTACACGCTCTCCTCTTCTTTTCCTTTTTGGCTTAGCCGAGGCCTAGAACTATGGCCTGTAAGCTCACATACTGAGTGTTTAAGCAGCGGCACATCACTTTTCAAGTGGCTTAATAAAAGTAACGCGTCTCTCCGCACCATCTCTCTCTCTGCCGCCTGCTCCACCTCATTAATCACTGAACTGGCCAATCACAACGCCGCACCGCTGACTGCCTGTTGGGAGCCCGCATACAGCCCCCTCCCCCACCCCCATCCCCACCCCCTAGCTAGAGCTCGCTCGATCTCTCCCGCTGTATCCGAGTTCGGGCCTTTCCTTGCCCCGCTAAACCCGAGCACAGAGTTTACATAGAAAGAAAGAAGGGGATTCTGGTAAGGTCCCGCTGTAGTCATGGTAACTGGTCATTTCGTCACACCCCAATCATGTGTGATGAAATGACTTCGCTTTTATCTCTTTCACTACCGCGAGCCGTGTTTCACGGCTCATGTTACCCCCAGCGCCGGACAGCGTGCCGTGTTTCACGACTCATGTTACCCCCAGCGCCGGACAGCGCCGTGTTTCATGGCCCGTGTTACCCCCAGTGCCGGACAGCGCGCCATGTTTCACGGCTCATGTTACCCCCAGCGCCGGACAGCGCGCCATGTTTCACAGCTCATGTTACCCCCAGCGCCGGACAGTGCGCCGTGTTTCACGGCTCTCCACATTCTGCCTCAAAACCACACCTACTTTTGTAATAATCGAATCTGAAATCTCAGGCTGAAAAATGATCTTTTTTTAGCTACATGTTGCGATAGGTCATTATTTCCCCTTTATTTCCGTACGTAATACATGTGAGTAACATTGAAAATAGAACCAAAAAATCTTTAATTTGTCCAACGGTAGGCAGAATAAAAAAGTAGGTCACTGACAGGGCCCGGTTCAGGTGTGGAAA